AAGGAAGAAGTCAAACTTTCACTGTTTGCAGACGATATGATAGTTTACATCAATGACCCAAAGAACTCTACCAGGGAACTCTTACAGCTGATTAACACCTTCAGCAAAGTGGCAGGTTACAAGATCAACTCAAGAAAGTCAGTAGCCCTACTATATACAGATGATAAAAGGGCTGAAAGAGAAATCAGAGAAACATCACCCTTTACAATTGCCACAAACAACATAAAATACCTTGGGGTAACGCTAACCAAACAAGTGAAAGACCTGTATCGTAAGAACTTTGAATCTTTAAAGAAAGAAATTAAAGAAGCCCTCAGAAAATGGAAAGATCTCCCATGCTCTTGGATAGGTAGGATCAATGTAGTAAAAATGGCAATCCTGCCAAAAGCAATCTACAGATTCAATGCTATCCCCATTAAAATCCCAGCACAATTCTTCACAGACCTTGAAAGAACAATAATCAATTTTGTATGGAAAAACAAAAGACCCAGGATAGCCAAAACAACCCTGTTCAACAAGGCAACGTCTGGAGGCATCACTATCCCTGACCTCAAGCTCTATTATAGAGCTATAGTCCTGAAAACAGCTTGGTATTGGCACAAAAATAGACAGGCAGACCAATGGAATCGAATTGAAAATCCGGGTATTAACCCACACATGTACGAACATCTGATCTTTGACAAAGAAGCTAAAAATATACAATGGAATAAAGAAAGCATCTTCAACAAATGGTGCTGGCATAATTGGAGACTGGCATGTAGAAAAATGCGGATCGATCCATGTTTATCGCCATGCACAAAACTTAAGTCCAAATGGATCAAAGACCTCAACATAAATCCAGCCACACTGAACCTCTTAGAAGAGAAAGTGGGTGGTACCCTTGAACGAATTGGTACAGGAGACAGCTTCCTGAACATAACACCAGTAGCACAGACAGTGAGATCAACAATTAATAAATGGGACCTACTGAAACTGAGAAGCTTCTGTAAGGCAAAGGACACAGTCAGCAAGACAAAAAGGCAGCCCACAGAATGGGAAAAAATATTCACTAATCCCACATCTAACAGAGGGTTGATCTCCAAAATTTACAAAGAACTCAAGAAGCAAGTCTCCAAAACAGCAAAGGACCCAATTAAGAAGTGGGCTGCAGAACTAAATAGAGAGTTTTCAATAGAGGAGTCTAAAATGGCTGAGAGGCACTTGAGAAAGTGCTCAACATCCTTAGCCATCCGGGAAATGCAAATCAAAGCAACTCTGAGATACCATCTCACTCCTGTCAGAATGGCTAAAATCAAAAACACCAATGACAATTTATGCTGGAGAGGATGTGGTGAAAGGGGGACACTCCTCCATTGCTGGTGGGAGTGCCAACTGGTTCAGCCACTTTGGAAAGCAGTATGGAGATTCCTCAGAAAAATGGGAATAAACCTACCACAAGACCCAGCAACTGCACTCTTAGGCATATATCCAAAAGATGCCCATTCATATAACAAAGATGTCTGTTCCACTATGTTCATAGCAGCTTTATTTGTAATAGCCAGAACTTGGAAGCAACCTAGATGTCCCTCACCCGAAGAATGGATAGAGAAAACATGGTACATCTACACAATGGAGTACTATTCAGCAGAAAAAAATAATGGAATCATGAGATTCGCAGGCAAATGGATGACACTAGAAGAAACCATCCTGAGTGAGGTAACCCAGTCACAAAAAGAGAAACATGGCATGTACTCTCTCATATATGGATTTTAGACGTAGATCTGGGGAGTGCCAGCCTACAATCCTATTGCCAGAGAGTCTGGGAAACAGAAACTGCATTTACTGGCTGGTTAAGTACTGAGCTGAACTCAAGAAAGCCAGTATCAGAGAGGGAGGACTGATGATCAAAGGGATTAAGACTGGGCTGGTTGAACCCCCAGAAACAGCTGACCAGACAAAGGTTAACTCTTGAATCCCAGGCATCAGCCTGGGAATCCAGCATGCGACTGATCAAGACCCCCTGAATCTGGGTGTCAGTGAGGAGGCCTAGGGAATCTATTGAGCCTTGGACAGCAGATCAGTACCCATCCCAAGTATACACACGGTCTCTGGACTCCCATAGAACAATGTGAGGTGCACTCTCACCCTGAACTCTTGGGGAAGGTTCTAGGCCCTGCCCTATATGAAATGACAGACTATGGACACCCCCATGGAGGGCCTCACCCTCCCTGGGGGAATGAGGGGATAACGGGGGGGGATGGGGGGAGGGCACGGGAGGAGGGGAGGGAAAGGGAGAGGGACCTCGTACTGACTTGTGAAGCAACCTTGTTTCTTATATAAATTTAAAATGGAAAATAAAAAAATATTAATAAAAAAACAATAAAGGATTAATCAGTATAAAAAAATGCTTGGCTAGTATGGAATAATTGTAGAAAATAAGGAATTTCAGTATGGTGTGTACTTTGAATACAGCACCTATACAATTATATCCCCCAAACCTCATTAAAATTTCATCTGTTCTCTTAATGATATTCTAGAATTGTTATGTTCCACCTCCCACAATACAAAAACATGCCATGTCAACTGTGGACAGACCACAATATTGCTGTCCTAGTTAAGGGCTACCATCTTTCAGAGTCCATTCATAGGGGTTTAAGAAATAGGAATTGAACAACAGGAGTGTAGAGGTTATGATATCTGTACTACTGAATTCTTAGAGACCCTATAATCATAGTGAAAATGCCATTGAAACCTAGTGTAGGCTCACAATCTCACTATTCCTGACCCAAAGCTTTAATCCTCTTTGGACTTTTGGACGTAGCATGAATAATGAAAAAATGTTCTCCTCAAGGATAGCTGTGAAAGATTCACACTTCCTCAGGTATCTGAATGCTTGTTCTCTAGTTTGGAGTGCTGATTGGTCTGGGAAGTCATGAAACCCTAAAGCTTTAGAGAGCAGCAGGAGGAATTAGGTGACTGAAGGCATCCCCAGTCCACTTTCCAACTCCTCCCAAATGCCATGCTTACCCAGTTCTCTAAGAGCATGGGACACTTATTTTGTCACTTATTTTGCATTTTGTCAAGGAGTTGTTAACTGTCTTGATGAAGTAATGCAGTCCCTGGCATTAGATAAAATATTTTGGGTCATTCCCTGCTGTTACTGGTCCATCCCTTGCAGTGACATCACTTGAGCTTTTTGAGACATGAAAGAAATCCATTCGTAGAAGAGATAGCCGTATAATGGGGTTAATCCTGAAGCTGCAGAGAAACTCACGTTGGATGGAGAGCAACTGCATCCCAGCATTGCTCCTGATACACCTGGGCTTTCCTAGTCTCATACTTGACATTGGACGTTTTCCTCTCTGGTGTTGTGGATTCTATGTTCTGCGTTTCATTTGATTCACACACTTACCCCTTGTGTTTGACTCATTGATTTCTTCTTGTGTTCATTTGCTTTTTAAGCAAATTGGCCACTTTTTTGATAAATTTACTTGGCCTTACTATAAATTAGTTTCTTTTTATTTATTTCAAACATTAAGTGTGTCAAACAAAAAACACCCCTGTGGCACATGTACACGTGCATATTGTGAACTGAATGTTTTCATCAGATGATTTTCATCTGTTGTGTTACATTGCAACACTCACTGGCATGTGCTTACAGTTGGCCCCTTTTCTTTAAGATGCCACCTATCCAGTCCTGACTCTAGTTATTCTCAGGATATATCTGGAAATTTCATATTACAACCCACCCAATATTGTAAATGGAGTTCTTAATTGGTTTGGCTAATAAAAATTAATATCCAGAGTCAGATATAGAGGGAAACGCTGAGATCAAGAAGGAGGAGCAAGTCACTGCCACACATTAGTTCCTTAGCATCTCAGCAGACAAGAGAGCAACTTCTGTTCTCTCTGTTTATATCCTGATTGTGCCATAGCAACCTCATTTCCTGTCTGTCTGTACAGACCTCCAGCCATCTACTGTTAACTAGTGACAAGCTCCATATTCTGACCTTCAGAAAGGCTTTATTGGTACAAGGAAATATCATTACACTATATTCATGTGTATTTTGCAAAATAAAACAATTCCATTCTTCATGTCTGAGCATGGCCTCTTCCCTTGACTATGCCCAGTAATTGTTCTAGGTGTTTCTGGGGGAATTATCCTAGATTTTCATGCTTAACTCACTGTGGGCATGAAATATCTCTGTAATGTGTTGTAGACCAATCTTGAACAAGGAATATCATTTCACGTGGTGTTCATCAAGGGCATTAAGTTATTCATTTGTGTGTGTGTGTGTGTGTGTGTGTGTGTGTGTGTATGAGTGTGTGACTGCACGCTTATGGTTTGGTATCAGTGTAGTTTGGCTTTTTACAATGTTTGGAATGATCTCTCCTTGTCTGCTTCGTGAAGTAGCATGAGAATCATTGACCTCCATTGTCCCATAGAGCCTGCATGTAAGACCCTTTATGCAATCTATCGGTCCTGGGCTTTCAGTGTTGGGAGAGACTGTTTTACTCTTTCAACTTAAGAATTTACCATCATTTTCAGGGTGCAGCAGTGGTTAAAAAAAGGGGGTGCATGTTTGGTATCCTGATGTATTACTGGTGGCTTCTGGTTGTGAATTGAGCAGTATCTGTCTTTGAGGATTGTCAATCTCTGAAGTACAAGGTTGACAGGCACCTTGAGGATTCCCATGGATTTACACATCTCTTTCCTTTCTCACATTTCAATAATTTATGTCTTTCTGTGGGTGATTCATGTCAAGGGCTTCTCAGATTGGTTTGTCCTTCAAAGGACAGGATCTTCTTTCTCTGACCTTTGTTTCAAGCTCAACTGTACAGTTACTTCCTCCCTGAACTTTCTTACACTTTCTCATATGTCCTTTGGCGTTTGGAAATTTATTTAATCTTTGACTTCAAGATGAATAATTAGTATTCTTGAAAGACCTTTGATTATCACCATCTAAAAATTGATAGCCAGAACCTTGTATCATAGAGATGATTTTGTTTTTTACTTCTAGCATTTGGTGGTGGTGCTATTCTCCACCTGAAAAGGTGAAGGACATGGCAGAGGAAATATCATGGAGGGATCTCAGTGATGCCAATGTACAAGCAGTATCCAGATCCCTACATTTGATGTGGTCGATCACAACTCTGGTCAAAACTGTGTGTTCCCTCAGCGACCTGGAGGAGAACAACTGTGAAACACCTGGACCAAAGGCATTTTATGAAGGCCTTGCCCAAAATGACATGCTTTATGAGAGAAAAAGCAATTATAGGATTGGCCTAAAAGAAAACCATCGAAAGAGCCGTTCCACCAAGAGGCCTGCACATCGTTTCACACTCCCTCGATTTCCACTGAAGAGGAGATGGAGTGAGCTGGCTCTGCCCACGTTTTTCACAACCTCGCCACAAAGGCCAAGCAACAAAGGCCAGGAGGTAAACGAAAAAAGTAGCTAGTGTTTCCCTAAATCCATCTCACCTGATTTATACATCAGACATTAACTCTCCTGTGAATTCTGCCCCACAGAGTGATTGTCTGAAGACAGTAAGAGTGTCTGAGGAGACAGAAAATGCTGTCTCATTTGGGGAAACACCAGAGGCTGAGATAGAGGAGACCATCACTTTTAGTACTACAACGCTGGATTTACTGGGCGTGCTAGCAGACCGCAAATGTGAAATGAACCATGAACCACATGATGATGCCACCATTATGGAGAATGAAGCAAGTGCAGATTTGAGTGACCTTATCAGCCAAATGACAAGGGATCTCACATGTGCTGTGTCCCACTCACAGCATGGGAACAACGGATGCGAAATAGTCAATGACATAATGAGTATGGCATTGCCATCTCCATCTCCAAATGAAGAGCTCCAGGAGGCAAACATAGCCTCCAACAGGCAAAGCAGAAGGAGCTGGAAAGGGGTGAGGAGGCAGCTTAGGAACCTGTTTCGAAGCTTATGCTGCTGCTTCGTCACCCCGAGTACAAAAGATACAACATCCAGGTATGGAGGGGAAGGAATAGGAAAGGGGTTCACAGAAATGGTGCAACAAGGCCACAAAATTCACATGGGTATTTGATGTTTCGTTTTCAAAGGCTCTTTGGCACTGATAGGCTGTACACATTTACAGGACATGAATCATAGGGTGCCTCTTAACCTAGAAATAGTTTTCCCACTGAATCTGCTCATGAGGAGTCTGGGGAAGTTGAGCCAGAAGCAGACAGCAGAGGTTGTTTCCAGGCAGAAGGATGCAGGGAGATGGGAGGAAGCAGGGCTTTGTGAAAGGGAGCACAGTTAGGAAGGGAGGAATCTGGTGGAGAGAGCTGTGGCAGCACAGGGCCACCCTTTCTAATTCCTTCTCTATCCAAGTCAGTGAAACAGTCCTTTGTTTGTGTCTTTTCAAGGGTCGAAGATGAGGCCCAGACCCGTGGTCCCTAAACCACAGGTCTGTGTTCGGCCTGGTGGGGCGTAAGAGACACTGGAGGGAACCAGGCCAGAACAGAAAGGAGGTGTGCCCCAAACCTCTTCTTCATGCCATATACCTCCAGCAACCTGAGAACAAGCTATGTCAACATCCTCCCATGCAGAGAGGGAGGCTTGATTTCATTGGTCTGCAGCACTAGTGGCTGGGCAGTGGAGACAGCCCGTTATTCACCTGGGCATGAAGAGGAATCCGTCCTGCTCCACAGTCCACAGAAGAAAAGTAAGTGCCCTACATGACTCTGGATCCCCATCAACTTCCCCTCTCCTTTCTGTCAACAGAAGCAATGAGCAGATTCAAAGAAGTCTTAGGTGGTAAAGAGGCACAGGAAGAGGAGGGGAGAAGAGGAGGAGTAGGGCCAGTGGAATATGTCACCAAAGAAAAGCAGTAAGAGAGGGAGGAGTAATAGGCATGAGACTGAATGAGGAGGACATTTGTCCAGAGGAAATTCCAGCATGGCAGTAGAAAAGTAAGGGATGACTGTGTGGACTGCTGACAGGGTCCCAGCTGAGCAGGAGTAGGAGTCAGATGTTCCTGAAGGAGACTTGGGGCTCATGGGTCATGGGTACAGAGATGAGAAGACCTTATCTTATGTTTCTCATGAAATCCAGCTTGAATGCTGCCTGGGAATTCTGCTCTTGTCCTGAGATGCTCAATCAGGGTGTGGTTTCAGAGAACAGAAGCCTCATGTTTCTCAGAAGCCTCTTCCTATGTCTGCCTGACCCACTCTTGGATTGATCTGGTGACATCTGTGTCTTTGTCTTCACAACCCTCTTCCTTCAGGCCCCAGAGTTGCTATTCCCCCATCCAAGGATTATTCGAACATACAAATTCCATGTCTCTGTGCGGGATTCTTTGACTTTGAGTAAAGGACAAGATAGTTCTTTCTACAATGAATAGATAAGCAATTCTTTACAGGACCGTGGAACATCACTGCCCAGACAATGCCAGCTAACTTGGCAATTCTCTGAGGCCAATGCCACCTTTGGTTAGAATTAGAAGGAAACCTAATTGTCAAAGAGCTGTAGATGACAGCTGGGGGCTGGTGTACACCTTAGCTGTGTGTGCTGTTGGCAGTCTTCTCCTGCCCAACTTTCCCATAGGAAGAATTTTCTTGACTCACCAGGGCACCCCAGCTAACATTGATTTCTGGGATCTAATCTCGTAGGATCATTCAGGTGTAGTAAACTGATGTCCACTGTGTATCTCCTGTGGTAGAACATGAGTTTCCTCATCTTTGTCTTGATGTACACCAACCATCCATACTGACCTCTCTTCTTTGCAGAGGTAGATGGTCCTTTGTGACTGCTTATCAGTTTGTCTGAGATACACTTGATTGGTCAAATCTTGCACCTGTAGCCATGATCAAGGCCTACATGGCAGCTTGCTCAAATAGTTCTACTGACAGTCATAGTGGCTCATTTTATTCTAATACTTCTACCTTTACATGTTACTTGGAATTTTTCTCTTACATTCATATTCTTATATTGTTTAGATTATAATGTGCTGAGTATAATTTCCTTTTACTTTTAAAATTCTTGTCCAAGCTAGTCAACTGTGAATGCCCTGTGAAGCTGGACCTCAGCTAATGTGAACAACAACGTTCCTCCTTGGATCAGGTTTCAAAGGTGGAAGCCATACTGTGCAGTTATGCTTGCTCTGCCTTTTCTGTGAGCATCTACCCTTCTGGTAAGAACTGACTTCGTTGAAATGCTTTAGTGGGAGTGGTGGTCTCTTGTTTGTGTCCACATGACTTTTTCCAACAGACTCCAGCTTTTTTATATGGATCTAAATATGTATCAGTTAATATAGGCACCCAGCACACTTGTGAGTTGTGACCCGGTGGGGGAAGTCTGGATATTACATTCAAGTCCGGCAAGCTGTGTTTTTCAAAGTGACAGAGAGAAGGGAAACAGTGCAGGATTCTCAAGTCTGCAACAGCTTGTGTATACACTGATGCTTTTGAAGCAGCTTCTGCCCACAGTATCATTTAGTTTTCATTCAATGATTCTATGTGGTCATAAAGCAGATAACAGTGGCTACAAGTAGTCTGTACTACATCCCAATGATTCCCATTGAACATATCATTAAATGGAATCCTCTGGAGTTGGTACTGTTCTGTTAAATATATGAATATCATTCTCTGTTAGTAATATCATTCTCTGGTGCATCTTACTAACAGAATGATTTTGTGAAGGTCTAAGTCTGAATCGTCTCATATTTTTCACATCTGCTGTGGTTAATATATAACTAACCTCAAGCATCCCTGAGACATGCATTGATTCTGAAGTCACTGTCAACCACCCGTCTTGGACCCTGCACCATCACCTGCTTTCACAACCCAGGATCATCGTGTCACTGCTGTGCCTACAACATCTGTCCTATTTCTTCCTTTCCCTGGCTCTCTGCTGTTGGTTTACATGCATGTGTGGTCTTCGAGCTCCCTTCTGCACAAGTTCAACCCAAACTAATTTTCACAGTTGAGTGGCTAATGGCAGAAGAGACACTGGGCAGAACTGTGGTTAAATATCTCTAGAACACATTGACATGTTTACCTGAAAGCTGCACATGCCATCTTGGCCTATTGCCTGGTTTTGCACTCTGATTAACAGCTGCAATCTCTGTATTGGTATTTGCTGTCTTTTCTATGCCATGCTTTGTCATCTCCTGGGACTGTTATCCAGGTCTGCCTCACTACTGTAAGCCCTTGTACACACAGCATCCAGAACAGGTGCCTGCTCCTCTATAGTATAAAGACATGTCTATTCATCCTAGGTCCGATGAACAGTTGTGAAAGGTGATGACTACTCTGTGACTTAAAGGAGTGTGCTAGGTCTCTCTGGAGTCTCCGTAGGACAGGTGCTCACATGTGGTAGCAGAAACAGACATGGCTCCTGATGACTGAGTCCTCCACTCTTTGTGATGATCAGGATCTGAAAGAGGTCTTGGCACACAAGCCTGGATGTCTTACCACCTGCTTTTATATTCCATGGGACAAAGTCATTCACTTCACCTCCTTGC